AGCCTTCGTCAAGAAGTAACAGTCTCATAATCAGAACATCGTAGTCCTCATCTATGTTACTGAAGCGCTATCGTCTATGGACTGAAGCTATGTTATGTTACACGAGATATAAAACATACTTCAAGGCCTTTCATTCATGATAAAGTGTACAGTTACATAGGTATTTGATTGCCGCTAGGGCACCTAAATACAACAATCTCCCACTTGCCCTAAGGCCAATCAAGCATTTCTCGAATGCCCATGGACCACGTATGACTCTCGTGTTTAGGCTTTCCCAAAGCCTTCGTCAACGGATCCGCGATATTGTCGTCTGTACCTAGCAAATCTCAACGTCCCCACGTGCAACGATTTCTCGTATGATGTGATAACGTCTAACGATGTGTTTGGTCTTCTGGTGAGACCGAGGTTCTTTCGCTTGTGCAATTGCCCCATTGTTGTCGCAAAACAACGGTATAAGGTTCTTGATGCTAGGAACCACTCCAAGCTCAGTAATAAAATTCTTGAGCCACACACCTTCCTTGGCTGCCTCGGCTGCAGCCATGTACTCTGCTTCTGTAGTGGAATCAGCGGTAGTATCTTGCTTGTAACTCTTCCAGGTAACAGCTCCGCCATTCAAACAAAACATATACCCTGCCTGCGACTTGAAGTCATCTCTATCAGTTTGGAAGCTGGCTTCAGTATATCCAACAATACTGAGCTCTTCTTTTCCACCATATACCAGGAAGGCATCTTTAGTCCTACGGAAGTACTTAAGGATGTTCTTCACAGCCGTCCAATGGCTTTCGCCAGGGTTGGACTGGTATCTACTCGTGACACTCAGAGCAAAGGCGACATCTGGTCTCGTACATACCATCGCATACATGATGGATCCAATGGCCGACGCATAAGGAACATTTCTCATGCGTTCTACTTCCTCCGGAGTGGAAGCACCCTGAGTCTTGGAAAGACTCGTGCCTTGGGCCATAGGCAAACTTCCTCGTTTCGACTCAGACATGCTGAATCTAGCGAGGACCTTGTCTATGTATGTACTTTGACTGAGACCTAACAGCTTCCGTGATCTATCCCTATAGATCCTTATGCCAAGTGCATAACTGGCATCTCCCAAGTCCTTCATA